AAATAACACATAATCTCAACAAGGTAGATACACATATCATGATAGTTCCGTTATCGAGTTATGACAACCGCACCCACTCATTCAACAGGCCAGGCCACCTAAACTGTATCAATCGCCACACGCTGTTCCTCCAAAAATATGCTATAGTTTTACTTTATACACCAGCGGAAGAGACTCGTAACATGGTAAATTAATTTACATTTTTTTTCAAGTCGTGGACTGTACCTTAATAAATTTAATGTGTGCATGCATGCAGGAGATCATGCAGCGAACTAGAGAGAGTACAGTAATTAACTCAAAAAAATAAATTTTCTTCATTCTTGAAGAGCTTTCGAGTCGAAATTGCTTAATTTTTTAAGCATTTTTTCATGTGTGCATTCTCATTTTACATTGTGTTTTGCGGACCTTACACATGCTGAATTGAAATCGTACATAAGCTACACAGATTTCGATAATTTGGAAATGTCACATGCTCATTAAATTTGACGAGTCTTGCGGCGAGCATTAGAAGAATGCTACGAAATGAAAAGTAGATTGATGGATAATTTGTCTTTGTTGTAAGTTACGCATTAGTATCGTGCAATGTTGAAGCAATTAAACATGAAAAAATACAGCTCACAATATTCACATTTCAACATATTAATATTTTTTTTAAAAAATCGTTCAGACAAAAACAAACCACAAAAATGTATGCACGGCTATTTTTCATTATATCGTCAAATTGTTATGGTACTTCCATTAGCGCCATGCAGTGCTATAGTATGAAGTTTAATAAAAATAGAAGATTAATGGAAGCGAAAATTATTAACGACAACGAATGGATTTTTCTCACACTTTATTTTAATTCGTGAATGGTGAAAACTAATTGGATTTGAATTTATTAAGGCTCGATCTTCTCGTTGCTCGCTAAATATTTCAAGGGAATCCATAACACTATTCAAATTTATTGTCAATTGCTCATATGTGAATTGAATGAGGAGCTTAATTTGATTCACTTTGTGGATTTTATTTTGACATTTTAGGTAATCTGATTTTCTCGGGTTAAGATGGATGTTGAATGGTGTTGTTGATTCTTTTAAATGCAAAATTCATTGAAATATTTATGGTGATGATTTAGATTGTTTGTTGCATTTAGTAAATGGTACTTTTGTGTAGCTTGGTGCATGATTCTCTGAGAAATGTTAATGTTAATCCAATTTCAAAATAGATTGATAAGGAGCCACTTATGACGTCCAGGGGGGGAGGAAGAGGGGAGGGTTAGCAAGAAAAGAGCAATAGAAATTCCTGAATCCATTGTTCTTTTTTGAAAATTGACCGTTAATTTTGGACGTCATAAGTGAACGAGTTCTAAGTTTAAACCACTAAGATTTCTTGTATATAGCTTGTCAATATGTTTAAGTCACTAAAAATTACAAATTACAACTACTAGTCAATGAACCTCCTTCAAATGAATCACCAGCTTCCCAAAAATCCCCACAATTCATCAATATTCTATCGTCATACTGCATCACATCATCAATTTAAAGCTCATCAGCGAAATTCTCACACTAAACCTCTCATTTATGAAATAATATCCAAACAATTACGAAAGGAAATTAGCTTAAACTCATTACTTGATCATTACCGCATACAATTATCGAGATTAGCTCAAATTCACAATCAAAATGCGTAATTTAACTCGATTCTCTCTTCTCTTAATTACAATTTTCATGATTATTAATATTTACGAAATTAATAGACACATAAAGTAGATTGAAATTAATTGCTTTACGTGAACATCTTTGTGCATTAAATGTGTGAACAGATTTGTTGAAGATAAACTTTTTTTTCCTCGTTTCATTCCCTCCTCACTAGCTTTCTGTGTTTTGCACTCAAACCTGAATGAAAAGAATTAAATTGAAATTTTTAAAATTGCGAGCAAGGTCATCGCACAGCAACCGCAAATGCTTGGTGATGATGATGATGATAATTTGGTACTTTTTTTGGCGGTGTATGTAGCATAAAAACAGATTTTATTTTTAAGACAAACATTGGAATGCGCCACGAGTTTAAAATTGGATTTTAATAGAATTGTGAATGACTTTTAGCTTCAAGACATTCACATATAATAAAATTTGATGCTTCTAGCGTAGTTCTGTTGGAATTGATGTGGGGATTGGTGCTCTTTGTTCAATTTTAGATGAATTTTGTTGAATTAATTTTGTCTAAGCTTTCAGGTTGAAATTTAATTGTTATTATTGTTGTTTCTACAATTAGATAGCTTTTGTGGTACATTTTAGATTTAGGATAGGTTGGTTTTGCTCTACATGCTGATATTCAAGTAAAAATCAAGCAACGTCTTCATAAAATACAAATTTGACGATATATATTCTATAACTTAGCCATAATATACAGAACCTAGCTTCATCATAAAATAATGAAAATTCAGCCATAAAAATCTCTTGGAAACCACAATACTCGTAAAATTGCGTCTATACGGCAGACATCTAACAACTTTCAAACATTTTTTATTCAATTTTTATACACACATTTTACATTCATCAGCGGGCGGAGATTGCAAATATAAAATAAAAATGAATTGAGCATAAAAAAGATGGAAATTCATAATAATAAAATAAATATATACGTAGAAGTAGAAAAAAAAAAATTGTTTAAACTTGAAAGACTCGCATATAATGCGTTCGTCAACCGACCACTAATGCGATATTCAAAGACATTTAGATGGATTGGAAGTGAAAGATTTCTCTTGCATAGCAGATGTGATCGTAAAACGGATCTGATTAATGATCTGCCCTGTCCGACCTTGCATTAGATAGTTGCTTTTTTTATCGCTTTAAATTCTTTGCATTGCGATAAAAAAAAAATTTAAATTACTTGTGTAGATAACTTGATATGAGGTGATACGCGCTCTTGACACGCTCTCGAATTTATAAGTATGATGTATGCACATATGATTAATTGCTGTTAAGATATCCCTGATGTGATTGATTAATGCGCATTTTTATCGTGATTGCAGGTGAAATTTGTTTTGGCTCTTGTGCAATTTTTTTGATGATTTTTCATTCATAATGAACGTTTTGTCAGAAAAGACTAGAATCTTACATAACGAGACATATCTAAGTTCATCAGCAAGTATTCACGAAAGGCATCTGTAGTCTAATGTCTAAGCAATTGATTGTAGATCTAGTTTTTCTTTTTATTGATTTTAAGGGTTCGATTCCCATCAGATTACAGTATTTGGTACAGTTATATAATTAAAATGACTAAATGGTATTAATTTGAAGGTTTAGAACATGTCGTCACTAAAACAAAGTCCCATGACAAAAAATATTCAGAAACCTTTTAAAATCAAGCATTCGCCAATTTCTTCTATTTCACAATATTCTATTTGAAGTTTTTATTATCATCTAAGCACTAATCATCATTATAGCATCAAATCCATTCGATAAATTTAGTCATCAAATCAATCTATTCAACAGAATTAAAGCTCCGTTCATTCACATCAAAATTCTCACCGCAACTTGATTAAAATCATCATCATTTCTGATATTTACAATAAAATACGAAAACAAACGTTTTTAGAATCGCATAACAAAAACAGACAAAATGCAAATTACAACATCATTTACTTCTATAATCACAGCATACGTATTATAAACAGTTTTATGTAAATAAGAAGAAATGTATGCAAATTGCCATATGGCAATGTGCTTAATAAAACTAGTCTATTGAGAGTGAAAACCGCAGTGAATATAATTTTATTACATATGCATAAAAATTGTGTTTAGTCTCGAAGCATGTGCTTACTAATCTCATAAAACTTAAAGTTTTTTGACCACAAAAGAATTCTGTCGAGCGTTACGATTGCTTTATCATAATGTTGCTGTCTCCGTTCATATTTTATTTATTTCCTCAACGGCCTATTCTCTATTATCTATCCCGTGTGGCTGTTTTACTTTATATCATCAGCATTATCATTTATTTTGTTGTGATTACTGTATGTAATCTCATCAATGATTAGTCACAACTGATGACATTCCATTTGACGGTCTGTTAAAAATAAATTTGTGAGCTCACAAGTCTAAACTTTCCATCACTCATCCGCCTATAAATTTTATGTACATTTTCACCTTATGACAAATTAATTGTTGAGCACAGAAAACCATTTATCAAATTGATAATGAATTATCGCGATTGTTTAAATCTACTTTGCGGGTTTTGTGTGCTGAGTTCTAGTTTGTCAGGTGATTCTTTTTGGGAAAAAAAGGGTTAATTGGATGACGTTTTGTCGATGTTTGTGTTGATTTTTTGGTAAATTTTGCGACAAAAAAATAGAAGCGAAAAATAGCCCTTTGAAAATTTGTTGTATTTTATGGGATTCGAACCTTTTCTCATAAAGAGGAATCTCCAAGAATTAGTAAATTCTTATGAATTTTTACATTTTTGATAAATTTTATTTTTTTGTGTGATTACAAAAAGGTTAATATAAACTAATCGTATAAAATAAAATACTACATTTTTGGGAAAAATTTGAACTGATGACCCGAAACTTTGAAACTTCTTTTAGGAAACAAGTTTTTGAATTAGTCAAAATTAATTTTTAAGTCACGTAATTACCAAACAAACCCCAATCAATAATTCCCAAAAATATTAATCATCAAAGAACAAAGAATATTAACTTGTCACTTAAATACCTAACCTATAAATGCGCCAAAGCCACCCACATACCATTTAATCCACAAACAATTTTTTCTTATCACACTTCATGTTCATCAGACTATTATTAATGAAAAATGGAAGTAAACAGAAGAGAATATTGTAATACAAAGACATATGAAATTGCGACTGTGCGGAAATGCTATCAATAATAAAAAATGATAAGAGCTCTGCTAGAGAAAGAGTGTTCAATATAATAATAAATTGGCTAATATGCTACACCTGATTACTATCATTTTGTAACTATAACTACATTAATATTATTATTGTCCTATATTCAACAGGAACAACAGCAACAGCCGAAACAGCATAAGTTAAAAGGCAGCAGCTTGACAGATAACAGCAGCAGTCTTTTCACCTATAAAATGGGCGGTGACGATGAAACGACGGAAAGTCAAAATTCCAAGTCATCGAGTGCTAACAACAGCATTCAAAGACATAACAATAACAATAATGGAACAGACTTGAAGCGCTATTTGAAGAATTTCATGCTATTTTCAAATCTGGAAATAGAAAGTGAAAAGAAATGTCGTGACGAGCAGCTATCAAAAATCGTGAAGGCGTTAATGCTATTTGAAAAGAAATTGCAGAAAGAACAGGAAATCATACAGCAGCAATTATGTGAGAAAGATAAAGTTATCAATCGACAAATGCACACAATATCAAATATGAAGGTGAAGCTTGGTGTTGATGACGGTGACAATGATGATGATACAAAAGACAATAATCAGACGGCAGAGTTTTGTCCGATGTGCAGGAAAAAGTATTATTTGAGGGCCACGAAAAGTATGGCAACACAAACAACTATTAATGGATTTCCAAACAACATCAGTGATGGTGAGTTGGCATGAATGTGACTACATTTACTTTTATTTTATTTTTTTTTTAAAGAAATATTATTAGAATAATTTTTAATTCCTTATAAGAGGATTATGGAGAGTTGGAAACAAAGTTTATTACTGTAGTTTTTTTTACATTCACAACCGGATGTTCTCGTGGATTGTTAATGATTATTTTATTGATGTGCATTGTATGAACGGATTAAATTGCGGTTGATTTTCTTAAAAATTGGGAATTTTGATCCTAGAAGCTCCAGACTAGTTTTATTTTGTTTTGCTTGGGTTTAGTACAGAAATCTTCTACTTCAGGCATGATTGATACTCAATGGGAACTTTAACCATAAAAAATAAGTAGAGTTTTGCCTGAAGTCTAGAATTTACCTCAGAGGAACTAAGGAAAACTTAATCCACAGACTTCAGTTATAGGTTGAGGCAAAACAATTTCCTTGTAAGTCACAATAAAATAAGTAGCTGAAGTACTTTAAGATACAGGTTGACATTGTAGTGTTCCTCTGTCAAAAGCTGTATGTCCACAAAGTGTCAGTATCAGGGGCATAGCCAGGAATTTGAAAAGGGGGGGGGGTCAAATTTTTTTGCATGGAAAACTTTTAGGGGGGGGGGGGGGGGTGATTTTTTCGAGTTCATTCATAAAAACTCTAGCAAAATGAAGAAATTTCTCAAGACGAAGGAGGATTTGTCCCCCAAATCCCCCCCTGGCTACGCACGTGGTCAGTATGTTTCCAAGCAATTCACAACTCTGTAGCAATTACAAGGCAGATAGATTTGATCAATCTACTTTAAATTCAACTAGAGGAAGCTCTACTAAGTTCCTCGTTAGTCATAATTGTGTAAACGATAAAATAACAAAAAAATTCAAAAAAATTAAGGAACAACTTTATTGGTGGAATTAAATGCTCAAATTAAGAATTTACACATCATCGGCTGTTGTTAATTACGTATTCTATTTAAAGAAAAATTGAAGTCGATAAAAATTGCACTTTAAAAACTTTTTGGTGCTTTACCGAGATATCAAGTTTATGGCAACAAATTCAAGGCTGTAAATTTTCACACCGAGCAAGTAAATTCGCGATAATTGTATAACGTACTTAAATCTTATCACAAATCATGATAAAAAAATATTAAATAGCCGAGATGGTGAAATACGAGAATGAGGTTCACACTTTTTATATAAAAATGACTCAATTTTCTAAGTGCTTAATGGCACATAATAAAATTTGCTTTAAACAAGCTTTACAAAAAAGTTTCAAGTCATAGTGAAATTCAGAAATTAAGTAAAAATCACACCTCATTTAAATCCATTCAAGAAAAAAAGCCAAACTGCGCTGCAGAATGATTTCCAGCAGTGCCTGAATTAACAGACAAATAAGAAAATCTAATAATTTTGCATTATGTTAAAAATCGCAACACACAAAAGCTTTTTAATTGCCATTAAAACGATCAACAATAACAATCATTTTAATCCACAAAATTAAGAGATATTTACTGTAGCTGCTGATATTTTAACAATGAAAATGAATTAAAATGTAAATCGTTTAATTGACATAAAAACTCTTTATTTTGTCTGTCTTCTGTTGGTTTTTGATTTATCGCCAATAGCATTCCATTTTATCATATCGTAACTCTCGATGATTGAATTAATGTCATCATGTGCACACTAATTCATTTTCTCTTTTCTTTTTTGTTGGATTTTTTTATGAGTTTCTCTGTCTGTCGATGTCAATTTTGTTGACTTTTCTCAAGCGAATCTTTCTTGTGGGCTTTATTGGTTGATTGAACAGTGTGGATGGGTCAGTGATAAATTATTTTTGATAAACAGAAGAGTCGTTAAATAAAGCAGCATGCTGTTGATGATTATGAATTTTAGGGGAACTTAATAAAGGTTGCTTATCAGTTTTATCTATCTCCTAGGGTAGTTGGCATTTTTGTCTTAATTCTAGTTCCATAATCGGTTGTAAGTGTTTGTAACTAGGAAAGTTGGTATTCTTATCTAAATTCTAGTTCCATAATCGGTTGGAAGTGCTTAAATCTTGTAAAGTTGGAATTTTTGTCTTAATTCTAGTTCCAGGATTGGCTGTATGTGCTTGAAATAAGTCCTAGAAACCAGCCTCAGATTAATTATATTCAATTATTAAAAACATTTTGTAGGAATTGAACCCACCTTGATTTTTTCATTCACATCTTTGCATGTTTTTCTTACCCAAAGCTCCAGCTACCACAACTCTTGCTCCTCACCTAAATTGCCCCTTGCTTAAAACTTATCAGTTGATATCATCTAATCCTCAAAAGACTTAAAGAATTAATTCCCGAACCTTGATATTCAAAAACATTTAAGAACCCCTAATAGATAAGCATCCTATTAATTAGCAGTGCTTACACATGATAGGAAAAACTCATAAAATTATTTTATATGACAATTTGCGAGTCGAAAATATGTAAATTTAATCATAAAATTTAATTGCCTTATAAGAACTGCTGTCGTGAGTCAAAATGACCCCGGAAAGCCTCCCTTGGTGATGAAAGTAGATAAACTTTCATAGATCATTTGAAATGAAAAGTTTTTTGAATAATCAAAATGTAAATGCGCATCAACCGCACATAGCAATAAAATCTACATCCAATAAATCGTTTTATTTGTGTACCAATTCTGCCTCCTCTTATTTTTTATTGGCTATAAATATTATTTTATTATTTCGCAATACTAAAACATCTCTCCTACCATATTTCATTTTAGATTATTCATCTATACAAAGTATAGAATACATGTCATCAAGTGAGGAACAAGAAGTGCTACTTAGTCCAAATCCATTTTCAACGGCACGTCGCAGTAAAAAGTATACGAGTAAAAAATCATACAAAGGATATTTACAGTCGCGCCCACACAGTGGTAACGTTGACAATAATAGAAATAAGAGCATAAATGCAAATGCATTGTCACAATCGAAAGACTTTCCCAGCAGCGATAAAAATAACAATACGATAGGTGCACGTGGTGCAAGCATCGAGCATATAAATGGCATTAGTAAAAGTTCAATATGTGGGGGTGCTGGAAAATTTTCACTAATTATGAATGATATTCATGGTATTAAACAACAGAAACAGCAAGTCGATGACACACATTCGCTGAAAATAAATCGTATGCATGGCATAAGTCTAACAACATTAAATGTTACGGCTAATGAAGGTAAAGAGAAAGAAATATTGTCGATATCACCGCATAATAATGATAATAGTGGCAATGTAAGCTCAATTGATGCTGATAGTCATGACGATGCAATTAAAGTGACAGTCACTGATGATCAAAAAGAATTTAATGATAATAATAATAATAATAATGGCAACCATAATCATAATCATACAATAATGAGTGATGGAATTGCAACAATAACGAGAAAATATTGTGATGAGGGATTGGAAGTGAAACAAAAGTTTGTAACACGCGATGACTGGTACATAAGTGATATAGATGAGAATGATATCATAGGTACACCAAAGTCATCATACGGAAACATATCAACCGGTGTCTCAAACAGTGTCCTCGAGTGTGTTAATCAAATTCTATTGCAACAATCTATGGATGAATATATTGAGTCACAAACCGATAATAAGCCAAAAGAGACGACAAAAGAATCGCAAAATAATTCAGCAACGTCAACGAATAGCGTTGCACCTACGCGGACACATAAGCGTGTTCATTTCTCGACAAAAAATAGTATGGTTCAAATAAAGCCACTTCCGCGACATCAACATCACCATTCATTGCCGTCGGACATAAATTCTGATGATGATGCATTAAATTCGACATATGAGAATCAAAGTACATATAGCAATGAATATGAATTGATTGGATCGTCACGAACATATGTCGATATGGATAAGAGTACAATTGATAACTTTAAGCCAACGCTTCCACCAAAACCGAGTAATCTTATGAAACTGCAACAAATTGCAAAGCAACGTGCATTCGTGCAGGATCAAATTTACACGAAAAAATCCAATTCCGACTATGAGCTTAATGAATCGGAACCGGATTATGCGTCAATATCTGAAATACAAGATACAATTAAAAGTGTCAAAGTAGTAACGGCTGAGATACACAATGACGCTGATAATTTAGTTGATAATGAATATTCAGAAATAAAAGAAGTTCCTACACCCACGCCCGAATGTGTCAATGAGGATGATTCTTTTGCCGATGTACCAAAATTACCCAACGTTTATTCAATAATTCCTGGCATCGAAACGCCCACATCACCAACAACGAAGAAAGAATTGTCGACGAGTAACAATAATAAATGCATCGGACATGACAATTACATAACAAAGTCACCGATGAAGAAGAAAATTCCTATTGCAAACTTTAGTAGCGTTAAGAAAGAGAAGGAAAAGTCAAAGATCTTGACGGAGATGAATAATGCGACAAATAAAAAGCAACAACAACCACCACCAGTGCCAATGAAACATCAGCAAACAATAAAAATTATTGACGAGGAAATCCAACAAGAATTTGATTGGTATAATCTAGATGCTGAATATACAAAGACTGATATTGTCATAACACCACAAATTGAGAACATCAAAGAGATGTATCAGTTTGACGATGAGAATGTTGTAAATAGTGATGATGCTGTCGTTAAAGTTGAGTATAATCTGGAAGATTTTGAGTACGAGACAGTTCCATCATCGGAATGTAGCGTTAATGGAATTGAAATTGAAACAAATAATAATAATTTTACAACTGTTATTAAAATTAATGAAACATCATCATCATCATCATCCGCATCATCGACATCGTCAACCTGTGAAATTCATAAAACATCACCAGTGAATAAAAAGTCAACGACAGCAAATCTAATGGAATTGGCTGAAACACCAAAAGTTGATTTTAAGAAAAATAATAAAATCCGATATGAGAAATTTCTCAAAGAGTCTGGCTTGATATCAAAACCCATTTTGATGTCTAAAAAGAAATTTTATGCTGAAGGTTCATTTGTGTAAAGTGCCTCTTTAACTTCTTTTTCATTCTTCTTTAGTTTTTCGCCTCTGACAGATAAGAGGTTTATGCTTAATGAACGACTAACGAAGGCGTTTCGAGTTAAAATGAGAAATTTATTCGAGATTTTTATATTTTTTTCTTTTTCATTTCGTTTGTTTGTTTTCCTTTTAGCGGATTTTTATTTTTGAGATATGAAATGAAAAGTTAAAGGAGGTTCTCGGAAGGCATATGGGATTTTTTTAAATAGGGTTTTTGGTTGCAAAGTCTCTTGTGAGTTTAAGTTGCTCCATGGCTCAGTTTACAAGTATGATTACAACTATAACCTCTTCAATCAAAGGTTCGAAACTTGGCATCCAAATAGTCACAATGAAACAAGTTCTACCTGAATTGGATGCACTCCCGAGATAAATCTATAATCCAACTCAAACGCTTCCCCGTTTTAAACATTAGACGTCATTTATGAAAAACCCCAATAAACTGTTTATTCAGGATATAAAAATAATTCACCTGACACGTTTCCTCTAAACACATAATCCACTCAATCTCAATCAGCTAGCAGCACAGCAATAATTTGACATAAATTACCATTAAATTATTATTTCAAAAAATAGAATTTATTGAGAAATTGTAAACAATTTGACGACTGCTCATAGCGAGAAGGTCGAATTAGCGATGCAATTTCACATTTATGTTAAATAATTGACAGCAAAATGAGGAGAAATTTTCACTTCAAGCATTTTAGGCCTAAAATTTCCGTTAAATATTGCAAGTTGTGCTGCATAAGAAAAATATGAGATTGCAAAATTTTTTATATGGTGTGAAATTGAAAGAAGTTATTTTATTTTGAACAGTCATGAATTTCTGTGTCGCGTCCATAATATCATAAAGTTAATTTAGAAAAAAAAATCATAAAAATTTTATTGACAAACAAATCATGAAAAAATTATTCATAGAAATCGTAAAAATCTGTTCATGAATATTCAAATTAAAGAATTCTCTTTTAAAGACCTTTCGGATAATTAATTTGCTTCATAAAAATAATGATTATGAATGATTATTAAGATCCTTCCTAAATTTTTATTAATGAAGGAATTGAAAGGATGGAAATTTTCTAGACCTTTTTTGGATTCGGGGGTGTGGTATGGGTTGTGGATGTGTTTTACTCTTTCTAGATTTGGTTTGAAGTTAGAAATTCTTAATCTACGTTCTATGCAGAGGAGTCTAGAGATTTTAGACAGTACTGGACTAGTTTTTCAAGTGAGATCAAATAAATCAAGATCGATTCTTAGGAAAAGCTAAACATCCATGAGTTTAACAGGCAAGTCAGTGCTCTCACGAATGACACAAGTAGGTTAGTCTATCAGAAATCCAGCACCAAGCCGGTGTGACTCTGGCATGGTGCTCGATTTTAATTGAAGCCAACATTGAGCCATGCTAGAGTCATGTCGGCTTATCCTCGGATTTATATTCAATTAACCGACTTTTGCTTTTCGGATCTATTCAAATTTTTGATATTTTAATCCTTTCGATATCATTTTCGGCTACTTCAGTTCATTCCTATCAAAAAATTCTTCTAAATTTTAACCTAAAATTTAAAACGAATTAAAAATTCAACGAAATAAATTTTTTCAATGGAATTTTGGCACACAAAAAATTCTATAAAGATGAAAATTCCTCAAAAAACACTTAATACCACCATTATTCAAACGAAACATCACTTGAAGGCTCAACATCATTTATATTTTAGAAAGGGACTCATTTATTATGAAAATTTATGGATGATGTTAAATGCTAATTAATTTTTGTTAAATAAATACCCTTAATGATGAGCTAATTGCAATCTCTGTTTATTTTCTACGATATTTTGCGCGTCAACGAAAGCCAGAGTGTGGGAAACAATGCAATATATAAAGAATCATAAAAAAATTACTATGCCATTAAAAATTCCCATTAAACGATCCCCCACGAAAAAAGAATTGAGTTGAGCTTTACAGGCTCTCCATGCGATGATATATAAATATTTTTCCCTGATGCCCCCTTACATAATAATACTATTACAATAATGCTTGTATAAAAAAATTTATATAGAGTATATTTTATGCGAAAAAATGTGAATTAATGAGAATATTTATTATTTTATGACGAACAAAAAATAAAGAAAAAAAAATTATTTTGCTGAAAAAATACTTAAATTGATTCGCACGTTCCTTTCAATTATTTCTTTAGGGGCCGTTCACTTATGACGTCCAGGGGGGGGGGAGGGGGTCAGACAGAAAAGAACAATAGAAATTCCTGGAAATTCATTGTTCATTTTTGAAAAATGACCGTTAATTTTGGACGTCATAATTGAATGGCCCCTTATTCTTAAGTTAATTAAAATGTCAAATTTCAGGATTAATTGAATGTAAAAAAAATCAGGTTTTCAGCTTCTACTTTTATTACTTTGTCATTATTCTTTTTAATTCCGTCGCCACCCAGAATCTCGTTGTACAATTTTATTTTCAGCTTCTTTCAGGAAGGAATGAGAGATTGAAAAAATTGGTAAGGAGAACAATAATAGTCGAGGTTGACAATACAGCATTTATCATTTAAATTTGGGATAGTTAAAGTCATACAATAGACGATTAAAGGATCATAAAAGGTAGAAGATAAAGATGACAATTTAATTGAATTTATTATTCATTTATGGTTGAGTTGGTAAGTAATTTGCATTAAATTAGACATTTTCAGATTGGATTGTAGCTGCTTTACAGACGTTTTGTTGGAAGAATGAATAACTTCTGTTGATGTCTAAAATGAATGAAGATTTGTGCTTTTTATGAAATATTAGTTTTGTAATCTACATTCTGTGTTGTTCCTCTGAGTCACATAATTGTTAAGCAATGGTAAGGTACAAGACTGAACGAATATAAAGCTTTATTCATTCAGACCCTAAAAATATACTAGACTCCCTCTTTCAACACAATTGTTGCTTCACTTAATCATAGCTATACATTTTAAATTTATCATAGTGACATCACAGTTACATCCAGTCATTTAGGTCACTTTTATTATCAATTAGTCGCTAATCAATATTTATCATAATCATGACAAACTGCTACAAAATAAAATGCAACTCAATGTAGGCAAATTCCTACATAGCAAGTGACCGTTCAAGCAATGACAAAGAGATGAAAATTGTCACATAATGTAAGGCGGATATTAAAATTTTTACGTCTCTAAAAAGCATTTTATTCAGAAGCATTGGGATGGAATCATCAATCATTCTTTATTCTGTACATTTTTGTCATTTTATTGTATTATTGTTGTCCAGACGATCATCTAATAAATAACAGCAGCAACCACATTACAGTAAATGCGAGCATTTTGTTGGCTTTTGAAGGCTTCTGAACAATTTTCAAGATTTTTTTTCTTATTTATTTACAGCTCATTCCGCTTGTCTCACAAATGCTTTCCATGAACACATTGAGAATATACAACAAAACATTGGGCCAGAAAAAGAATAAGAATGTTGACATTTTAATGCTGGGTCCCTTTGGACATTACTTAATATTTTTTTTTGCCTTGATACATGAGACTGCCTGAGGATGCTTACTCAATTGGAACACTGCACTTTTTCCTCTTTTCAATTTGTGTGTCTTGCTTATGATTTTTTTGCGTATGACGGGGTTCGTTTGAAAATGATGTCCATAAAAATTGGAATTTTTGGACATTGACAAACTGGTGCTTCAAGGTATTTGTAGATTAATGTGCGATTGTGTCCCCCAGTGGATACTTAACAAACTGACTGCCTAGAGTATTACAGCACCTGATCCCTCTACAGTCTACGATGCACGTCACTCATGAGTAACCTCAAAGCTGATTCAGTTTTACATACCGCACCGCATACAAGTAATATCCATGTCATAATAAAAACGAGAATTTAAAGAGCAACATCAGTCAGCCGACAATTCTACGGTGGCGGTGCAAGCGAGTATGAATAAAGAACATAAAAATTTTGTAGGATAATTATTGCTGCTGTCAAAATTTGTGCCTGAAGTGCAATATTTATGGTGCTTAAGATCTGAGGTTTATGAATTTATAGAGTTACATTGAAGGCACCTTAATTTAGCACTTTTTTATGATGTTGCCTTGAATAAAGAAATATCCAGTTATGCTTTTATCTTTATTTACTGCTGTGTTGGTTCAATTCAACAAGCAGATTATCCAAATATTTATCAAGTCATTCAAATGGTTCTGTCCAATAGCATTAAACAAATAAAAACCATAGGAACACAATATCCAAAAAACAAGAACAACTTCATCAGCGAAAGAGAAGAAAAAACGAAGAATAAACTTCCTTTTACAGTCAATGCGGGTTTTTTTTGTTTCTCCTTTAGTGAATGCAGCAAAAAAATATATATTTTTTATGTCTTCGCTATTGATGAGAGAGAGACTTAAAATCTTGCTGTTGCTTGCTGTGTTAACACTCAACGGTGAAGTTAATCATACCGTCAAAAAGGTTCTCAATTATGAAAAATTACACACGGTTATTCATCGTCAACAACAGAAAAAAAAATTGTATTTACAACAAAGGTCTCTCATTACAACAAACTTTATACTTTTTTTTTTCTATTTCCTCTTTCGCTCACTGTTCTTTTCTTCTACATCTTCTCGCTCTGTTCGCTATGAAAACACAACAATCAGCATTGAAATTCCATTGTTTTTTTTTATGCTGTCGGGAAACATGTTGCTTGCAACATCAAAGAACAACAAAATGAATAATAGTTGATACATCGCATGGATGGTATGAGCAACAGTCGAGAGAAAAATGATACAAAAGGTAAAAGGCATTGTCATTTGGCTCTGTTATTGTGCTGTAGTTGATATTAACAAATATTCTGATGTCATTGTGATGTTATTGCGAAATTTTTCATTAATTAAATGTTTTATAAAGTTTTGTTTGTTTTTCGTCTGCAAATTAATTGGATTCGAATGTAATGGAAACTCTCACGTGTGAAAAATTGACTTTTGGAACTTGACATGAGGTGGGAGCAGGTATCAGAATTGGTAATTGACTGACTTTGCTTCTGATTGCTTCTTGTTGATTTTGTTTACCATGTCGAGTAGCATAGGGGCTCATGAAGTTTAGAACTGACAAAAAAGAAGAGAAGGGATTTTGCTATGCATGTCATTTAGTCATGCCAACTCTGTCACACGATTTTTCCACAAAAAAACTTATTGATGCAGGAATTTTCCATTAAAATTGACTAAAATGCTGGTACATTGACCTATTCATCTCCATAAATCAGTGCTGTGCAAACTTTTTTGAGCCACGGCACACCTTAGGGGTAAGCTATTACCAAAGTCGCACACAGTATCCGGCTCGCGTTATTTTTAAAAAATTTCTACGGCACACCATGTGCCGCGGCACACAGTTTGTACAATACTACCATAAATCAATAATTAAAGTTGTTAATTATTTGTAGATGAATTTTCTATAGAATTCTTTATGCTGTACGCTTGCCTATATTGTGGTATTTTTGTATGGACATGGATGCTATACAACTTGAAGTTTGTAGTTTTTGTTGAGTTATTTCCGGTGTTATCAAAACTTTTGCAATACTGTTCATATCTCAAAATAGCAGACAACAATGATAAATTGTATAGGTTTTGTGTTTGAATTACGTGCTGGTAAGGAAGGTAAGCTGATTAATTAATGTCGGATGTTGTCAAAATGTATAAATTGGTCATCTTTCTTGAAAATAATTGAAAACTTTGAAAGGATTGATTTTATTTTTATCTTTTTTTAATTCATAGTGTAGCCAATAATTATTCCAGGCTCGGAAACTAGACGGTATACCGCCAAATATCCCCAACTTCTATACAAAGACCTCCAAATACCCTCAAATACCCCCAAATACGAGCTCTTTATATGAAATACTGTCTTTAAAATACCGCCTGGTTTCCGAGCCTGGTAATTATTGATCTATAGCTCATCACTTTGTGCTAATTATTCTCCATGTTAATTACATTCTCTATCCCCATATTCTGGGAACTAACATAACATATCATTTTATTCCAGATGTCTCACTATTAATTCAATATCAACATACGACTATAATAATAAAGAGGCAGAAGCTTCCTCTATTTGCGCCGTTATTTTATCATTACTATATCTGTTATCATTATTTCTACCTGAACGTAAAAAATTGCGGAAGTTTGTGCAGGTGATAAATTTCCCATAATGTGTAAAAGACACAACTATCTGCAATATTTATTAATTGTAATTTCTGTAATGATTGGGATGAGTGGAAATCTAGAGCATGTAGAATTTTTAAGTTGTTGTTGACTTGCGGTGGCTCTTAATAGAACTAATGTCTTTATAGGTATAGGTTTTTGATAAAAACTAGGCTAGAAATGGACTTTAAAATTAAGTTTCTTACAAAATGGATCAAAAATTGTGCACATCAATTTAAAAATTGAGAGATGATCAGACTAATGCATTGTAATCTGTGCTGTGCTGCCTGTTACACATTATTGAACTGCAATAAACTTCGACTACAGCCATCATCAATTCTGATAATCGAAATGAACATAAATGTAATTGAAATGTAAATAAAGAGCAATAACTACATTTCACAAAATTAATAGCCTCACCTACCATAATAAACAGTTTAATTCAATTATATCCAAAAAAACTTCACGACCCAATCCCACATAATTCTAATAATCTATTAAAAACAAACCGAAAAGGTCATCAGACAAGCAGACAAATGCACATACAAATTAATTTACATGGAAATAACGTCAAACAAAGCAGAAACAAAGGCACCTCTTTCAATTCAGCAACAATAAATGCTCTAAAAAGTTGTGAAGGCCACACGATTCGTGTTGTCATGTTAATTTATAAAATATAAGGTGAAAAAAGGTTTTTAATTTAAATCAATAGATTAATCGATAAGATTTTTTAAATATAATTTAAATTCTAAAGTCGATTGAATAGAGTTCCATTTATATCCTTTCTCCATTACAGAATTCAATTTGTATGATGACAGGTGAGAGATATGGAATATGGTTTTGAATATTATTTATTTATTCTTACATTCACATTGAATTGAATTATGTGTAATAAAATAATAGGCATTTATTATCATAAAATATC